GGCTGGAGTGTTTTCATGCTCTGGCAGTGTTGACTTTCCCCGCAGCCGATTGGACGAGGTCAGGAAAGTCAAACCCTACGAGACTAACGTCCCTTCTCTCTGTTTTTGTCCAAGTGCGAGTCCCAGACACAACAGAACAGCGTTTTAACCTCTCGACAGTGAAGAGCACAACACAAAGACGGCTGAGGTCACACACCTGCGCCTCACGAGCACAAGCGCCCATGCAGGTGTCTTCCTGTTTTTATTATGTGCATTTAATTCCTGTTTGCTTTTGTTGTTTTGAAATGTCTGATTGTATTGGTCTGCTATATGCATTCATTTTGGTGGAACCAGTTCATGTGCAAATATCGGCTTGGCCTTTTAAAGATTGCTAAATGGGGGTGTAAGGAACATTTTATCCCATATGGCCAAAAAAATAAATATATATATATATTTTTTTTATATATATAAAAAAGTTACTTCATTTATTTCACACACACACACATATTTTTTATTAATATATTTCAGAATATTTTTACATAAATGTATTTTTGGCCATTTTCTTGAAAATATATTTTAAAAGCTTTTAATCACTTTACAAATTGCTAAATGAGAATGCGAGGAACATTTTATCCTATATGGCAAAACATCTATTTTCGAAAATGTTATAAAATATATTTCAAAATATACAAAAAATATGATTAACCAATGATTTACCAAAAAATATGATTTAGCAATATATTTTTGGGGCATTTTTTTTGTGTATTTAAAAAATATATATTTAAAAAATTTAAGTACATTTAAAAAAAAACATTTAAAAATATATTTTGTCATATATTTCAGTCCAAGAAAATGCATTCACCTATGTCACACTTGAAGAAAAACTTTATTTGTTGTCTATAACGGAAAACTTGCCACTAATAAACATTTTGAAATCTATTTTAGCATATGAAGGTTGAAACTAAATATATTTAAAATTAAAAATATATATTTAATTGAGCTTCACTGTTTACAACATATTTTTGCCCACATGGGATTGCTGAGATGTTTTGAAAAAGAAAATGCTTTGATAATTCATAGTTATGACATAAAATGTTGAAATTTTGAGATAGTAAGTCATTTATGAGATAAAATGTACTAAGTCATAATTATGAGATAAGTTGGACCTGAGAGAAAAATTATTGAGATAAAGTCATAATTATGAGATAAAAAGCTGCCATTATAACAACAACAAAATAAAGACATTGAAAAGTTAAAATTAAGTGCAACCACACAGGAAAAATACTGTTTTAGTCATTCATAATATATATTTGAGCTTCACTGTTTACAACATATATTTAGCATATATTTCAAATATTTAATTGCCAGAAACAGCATTTTTTTTTTTTTTGCTGTATGGTATTGCTTTGATGCTGCTCTTCCATAGATGAGTGTTTATGTTGCATTTAAGTGTCACGTTTTGCTAAAATATTTATCCTGTAAAAATAGAAATAAACAGTAAATTGTAAAAAAAAAAAAAAGTAGCACTATAGCGCTGTAAGATGAATAGCCTTTGTGGAAGTATTTAAGAATGCAGTCTTTGGTGTCTTGAAGCATCTTACAATACTTGCTTAATTGTTAGATGAGGAAAGTCAGGAAAAAGAGCTGTAATCTGCGGTTTGTGTTTCTCACATGGGACAGGCCCACCGTTTTGGCACTGAGCTCTAAACCTGTCAGTTTGTAATTGCATTTCATAAAGGTCAAATCGTAACATCCGTAATCGGATTGGAAACTCTGTGAAGTTCCCTCTGTCTTTCCAAAAGGCCTGTGTTTGTTGCTTGTCCCTGATCTGTGCGGTTAGGACGCTCTGGGGCAGATCGACTGATGCTGCATGAAGAAACACAGGTCCTGCTATGCTTGGCACGTTCAAACCAGCCGTTAAAATATCACCGTGGCTTTATTCACACTCCTTTTGGCCAGAATCAGAACGATGTCGTGGATGAGCAAGTGTCGGGTGAAGGGTGACGTACTGGTGACTTTTCTGTGGTGCAAATCAAATTTTGACATTTGACGTCATTTCTGATTTGTCGTGAACTGAATGAGTGAACGTTTGCTGAAAATGTACTAACCCTCGTGTCATCGAAGTTTGTTTCTTCATCAGATTTGGAGAAATGTAGCAGTGCATCACTCGCTCACCAATGGATGTGAATGGGTGCCGTCAGAATGAGAGTCCAAACAGCTGATAAAAACATCACAATAATCCACAAGTAATCCACAGCACTCCAGTCCATCAGTTAACATCTTGAGAAGCCAAAAGATGCATGTTTGTAAGAAATGAATCCATAATTAAGGCGTTTTTAACTTCAAATAATTGCTTCTGGCTAAAATGCAAGTACTCTATCTATAATCTTGCTTCCTGCAGTGAAAAGGTCATCTGGTCTGAATCAGGAGAGAAATCTGCACAAGCCAAAACAGCTCTAAACAAATCTGTGTGTGGATTTTGATGTGAGAGACAACAGGAGATGGACTTTTTCACTGGAGGTAGCTTTATTATAGATTATAGACTCTAACCAGATTCTGACCAGATGCTTTAAAGTTAAAAATTATGAATTCGTTTCTTACAAACATCCAGTTTTTGGCTTCACAAGACATTAACTGCTGGACTGGAGTGCTGTGGATTACTTGTGGATTATTGTGATGTTTTTATCAGCTGTTTGGACTCTCATTCTGACGGCACCCATTCACATCCATTGGTGAGCAAGTGATGCAATGCTACATTTCTCCATTTCTTCAACTAATCAAACCAATCCTGAAGCAGAGTAAATTTTCAGCAAATGTTCATTTTTTGGTGAGCAAGTCCTTTTCTGCATTTCCTATACGTGACAGCAAGCATAAAGCATTTGTAGTGAGATGAAGTCAAAAATGAGACGTTTGCGGGTTAATGCAGTACAAACAAGTGGGATGACAAACTAGCACCTGTGCTGGATCACCACACCCTCTGTCAGTTTGTGTTTGAGTCACCGCTGTGACTAACCGCATGCATGTGTGCGTCATTCAGACGGGACACAAGCACAAAGCTGGTCAAGAAGGTTTAGCAGTGCAAGGATGTGAAGTCAGTTTTCACATTGTTTTCTTGCATAATCCAAAAATCGTTTTAGGCACTGGAATGGCTAAAAATATATACAGTACATTTTTTTACTGTAGTGTTATGGAAGGCAAGTAACATTTAGAGCATTTTCAGCAACAGCTCGAAAAAATTACATCATGTTTGTTTTCTTAACTATAGCTTTAAATGTGCATTTATTGCAGGGATCGGGAATGTTTAAATGTCTTGCACAGGTTGCATTTTTGATGGTTTGAACTGACAGAATTGATTGTATAATGTTCAAATAAAACATTTGAGTTCATTTATGTGCATTTAATTTGTTTTTGTTTTTCAACTGAGGATGTAAATGTTGGTTTGGCCTTTTAATCACAAAAAAATTGCTAAATGATGGTGTGAGGAACGTTTTATATTAAACATTTTTTTAGCATTAAAAATATTTTTTTCAGATATATTTTGAAATATATTTCAAAATATACACGAAAATGACCCCCAAAAAATATATTTTCTAAAATATTAAAAAAATACATGTAAATATATATTTCTACCAATATACTTTTGGACATTTTTGTAAATATAGTAAAAAAAATAATACATATATATTTTTCATATATTAGATTTCATAATTATAAATTTTTCTTAGAATTTGGATGCAGATGCCAGTTTGGCATTTTAATCAAAAATTTAAATAAAAATGTCATTTTCCAATTATATCTTTAAAAATATTTCAAAATACCAAAAAATATATTTATTTAAATATATTTTGGCTTTTTTTTTTGCAGATATAAATAAATATATTTAAAAAAATTAAAAAAATGTAAGCATTTCAGTTTGCCCAAGAATTGGGATGCAAATGTCCATTTGGCCTTTTAATCACATTAAAAAAATTGCTAAATGAGTTTAAAAGATTTAAATGTGCATTTATTGCAGGAATCAAGAATGTTTTAATGTCTTGCACAGGTTGCATATTTGAAGGTTTGAACTGACAAGATATTACATAATGTTCAAATAAGACAGATATGGGTTGAAATAATTTAATTATCTTTTAATTGATTGCAGCACATTGTATAACCACACATGACAAAAAAAAAGCACTTATCAAATATTTTAATCAGGCTCAGTTTGCAACCTTTTACAAATTGTTAAAATAATATTTGTAAAAATCTGATAAAAGAAACTACCAAAAAAAAGATAACGACTCAAACCTTGACCAAAAACCCATTTGTAATTTCCAAAAAAAGCTTGACATAAATAAGTTAGTTTTAATTTTCTCAGTGTTTTTACAAAGTTATGTACACAGGTACATTTCAAAGTTTACACAAATACACAGGCAGTGTAGATCGTTCAAATATTAATATTTACTTTATAAATACAATTATGCATCAGGTTTCACCACAGAATCTATTCGTCGAGTGTTTTAGATGCATACGGTTGCTGGAGCGAAACGCCCGCTTATGCAAAGAAAATAAGGCAAAATCAAGGGTGATAGAGTCAAACAAATATCAGTAGAAATCCTCAGATGATGCAAATTACAGATGATCAAGAAACATCTTGCAAAGAAATAATTTAAGAGGGTGAGAGACGTGGAAGTGCCTGATACTGGTAATACTGGACGATGCTACAAGGTTTGACCTCAGAGTTTGAACTTTTACATCCCCTTCAAAAACAAACAAAAAAAACAGGCTGAGATGTTCGGATCCATTCTTAGAACTGCTATTTTGTGTACCACATCTGAAAAAAACATTGCTTTACACAGCCAATATAAAAACAGACCTTCAAAACGTGAAATAAACAAACATGAACAGCATTTCGGAAATAAATCTACACACGGCAACTCTTCAAAATCAAACCAAACACACCTCCCAAAAAAAAAAAAAAAAAAAAAAAATTTTTCAAAAAAAAAATTAATATGTGGTTAATATGAAAAAGGAAAAAAAAAATTTTTATCCGCTCGTCCGTTTCTCCCCCCCAAAAAAATCTTTCGTTCCGCAAGCACTGAGGTCATCAAACCCACAGCAATCGACTTCAGCCCTGTCCGGAAATACGAGAGAATTAGACACACGCTTCTGCAACAGAATGAAAATACACATGCACTGGTATTAAATGCCATTTTTAATAGAGATTATGAAAGCAATAAACTCCCGTTTCAACTGCATTGTAGATGTTTTCTTTAGTATGTCTGTCCTTGTTTGTATGAAAGCCATTGAGACTTTTCTTCTCACAATTCAAACTTTTTTTTTTCCTCGCAATTCTGAGGACAAAAGTCAGACAAATAGAATTCTGACAGTCTTCTCAGAATTACAAAAAGAAAAGTTTGTTTTGAAATTATAAGCTGATATCTTACAATTCTGACTTTTTCCCTCTGAATTGATTTTTAATCTCAATTGTGATTTTTGTTTCCAACACGCAAATAACATAAAAGGTTATTGCGACTTTAATCACTCAAATTGTTGTTTTCTCTGAATTCAGAGTTTATATCTTGCAATTTTTATTTATTTTTTTGGTTCCAACACAATAAATTGTAGGTAATTGCGAAAAAGTTAATTGCAAATTTTTAATCACACAATTCTGACTTTTGTTCTCACAGTTGAAGACTTTTTCCTCGCTAATTTATTTTTTGTTGTCGTCTCCGACAAATACGTTCAAAAAATAAAGGTAATAGTGACTTTAAGCACACAAATGGTTTTTTTCTCTGAATTCAAAGTTTATATCTTGCCATTTTTTTCCCAACACACAATAAATCAATTATAGGTAATGGCGAAAAAGGTACTTGCTAATTTTTTTAAATCACAATTCTGACTTTTCTTTTCAGAATTACTTCTCAGAAAATCAAATCTCACAACTCTGAATTTTTTATCTCGCAGTTGTTTCCAACACACTAAATAAGAAATAAAGGTACCTCACAATCCGGACTTTGAATTTGAGTTTATATATCTACTAACTCAGACTTTTTTCTTCTTCTTGCAATTCTGAGAAAAAAAGAATTCTCAGAATTGCAAGAAAAAAAAAAAGAAAGCCTGAATTAATAGATATTGGCTCAGATTGCAAGAAAAATCCCAAATTGTGAAATTAAAAAAAAGTGTTTTTTTTATCCCGTGGCGGAAACAAGCGTGCATATTTGCGTGTCATTATTCACCTCATTTATTTTCAACATTATGCACACTAATATTTGATGTGCCATGCTGTAAACATCAACAATCATGGCAATACAACTCTTGACTCTTAACGCAGAGATAAGGACGTGTCGTGTGAGTCTCAGCACACCACAAACCAGACGAGCAGTGCAACCCGCAAAAACCTGAATGAACTGAACAAACACAAACTGGAAAATGAGATCATGAAACGTTTTGAGTCCCACCAAAGCAAAACACTCATTACTAATGTTATGACTGGCTGCTATTAGCTCATTAGCTCTTGGCAGGACGTTTCCTCACATGACTAACTGAGGTAATGATAACCTGCAGTTACATCAGATTTATGCATTTCAATACAACTTTATCACAGTGTTGCATTTCAATGCACTGAGCAATTCCGCACAGTTTTACAGAAATGTGCACGTGTAATAAAGGAGAGCTGTGCTGTTCAGGTGTAAATACAGCAGAAAATGAGCAAACATGCTGATGTGTAGAATGTTTTTCACTCTTAAGGAAACTCCAGCTCTTGTAGTAAACCCATCATATTAACCCTTTCACCCACTCCAAGAGGGTTCTTCAATTACATACTGAAATAAAATGTGAAGTAGAAACAGTTCACACTCAGAAATGACTAGTAACTTAAACTTAATAATTAGAAAAACGTATACTTTATTGTAAAATGTATTCCAATCAACTTCTTACAATGCACTTTTAATAAAACACCAGTTTTACAAATATCTAAGATTAACAGCAAAATAAATGTGAAATCGGTTTAATGCAACATGATCGCTTTTCTCGTGTACTCATTCTCGTTTATGTGCAGACTGCATTTCTTCTGCGTAAATGACTCGGGTGTTAAAGCGCACAAAGATACAGAGTTGTGCTCACCTCACTGGGTTTGTGTAAGTGTCGGGCTGGGGTGTTTTCTGGGTTTTTTGGGTTTTCTCGGCGTCCGTGTCACTTCATCCACACAGATGTGTGAGCGTTTGCTTTGACCCGAGGAGTCTGAAACAAGCACACACACATTTATCATCCCACACGGGTTGAAAATCAAATCAAATCTGCTATTTACAGAAACAAGTCATCGGTTTACCAGTGTGAATCGTTTAGAGGAAGTTTAGAGGATTTCAAAGAAAATGCAACTGCATTATTTTACTTGAAAAAAGCATGAAAATGCGTAATGCGTAACACTATCTATTTATTGCATTATCAAATTCGGGCTTCACGCGCATAATTCAAAATGCTATTGCATGCAAGTGTGAAAAGGCTTAACGCGACTAGATATTTTAAGCAGCTATATAGATGCAAAAAATATATAAATGCATGATCGATTAAATCGATAATTCGGCACGTACCGAGACAGGAGGTTATTTTCCTCTGCTCTCGGTCTTTTTCGGGCGTCTCCGCGCTCTGCTCCGTTACGCGACAGTCGTGATTGCCGTTAACATCCACATTATTATCGATATTATTCCCAGAGGAGCACATGTGAAGCTCGGAGCCCTTCGCCCGCACCGATCTGCTGTAGAAACCGGGCACCGAGCGAATGTCCAGCGCGTCCCACTGGTATCTGCCGTCGGTGCGCGGAGTGTGCGAGGAGAAGTCGAAGTTCCACGCGTCCGCCGACGCGTCCTCCATCGCCTTCAGCTGCCGCTGGAAATCCTTCTTTAACTCTTCATGATCCACCGGACCGAACAGGTTCCGACACGCCGACGGCTTGGGCTGGTCTGACAGTCGCGCCTCCATCCGTTCCAGCGTCGGGCTGCCGCTAGACAAGCGCACGTTGGACATTACAAGGCGTTCAAGTGCGAAAACACAAACCCGACAGCTGTTACAGAGCGTCCCCTCCTGCGTCAACGCGATCCAAAGCGACGGGCGTAAAGGCAGACTCGCCCCGGGTGCGCCGCATGAGCGAAAAACACGGACGGGCGACGAGCATCAAAACAAAAGCAGCGTTCGCGGTGGCCGCTCCTGTCAACTGCGCGTCGTAGTAAATAAGGGGAAGAGAAATAACAAGGCGAGGCTTTTCGGCGCCCAATATGGCGATGAAAAAACGAGTGATTGACACAAAGAGGCTCTTTAAACGACCGGAGGAACGCCTCGGATTGGTGCATCGGAGATCCGCCTTCTCTCCGCGCACATCCCCCAATCACGACCCGAGAGAACGCACATCCACTAACACCCTCGACGAGCCTCCGAGTTCTGAGTCGACTCGTTCGAACGGACCATTTCCGAATCGGTTCACTAAATGATCCGCTGATTCATTTCACTTACGTTTTCGAATAAATTACTTTCAAATGTTTTCAGTTGTATTTATTGTAAATAATTTTTTTGCGGCATCAAAAAGCGTATGAACTATTGGTTTACGCGTGACTTTATAAGGCGAGTGATTGAATGAATCGTTTAAAAGATTCAGTTCAAACGAGCGATTCGTTGGCGAATCACAATCGGACGCTTCGTGACGTTGAATGTCAAGCTCTGTTACAGTAAAAACAAGAACAGGGGATCTTGTGCAAGTGCTAAACATTCACAGTGAAACCGAAACTAAAAGCTTGCATCAGGATTTTTTTATATAATGTGAAAGAAATCACATGAGAATACATAATTGTCTGCTTAAAAAGCTATGCAAAAAACAATGATTTGAAGTCTAGTTCCTTGCCTAAGACTAGTACTGTCAGACTAGTTTAAGACTAGACTTAGTCTGAGAGTTATTATCAGTGTAGTCACGGCCTACCAACTGAATATCGATGGATCTTCAATATTGTTCCTATGAGAATAATCCTTTGTTCAAAACGTATTGAATCTAAAAGGTATTAATACAACTTCTAAAATGTCCTGTGATGGAACAAATGAATCATAGAAACTATAAGATATGGATTTATTTAAGATGGTTTGATGTCATTACCCGTAATGTGTTGGTCTCTGGTGTCTGAAGAAGATGTTTGAGTTTGAGACACTAAAATCACAAAATGTAGAAGTACAACGAGATTCACTATAAGTTAAACCTATAAATTAAGCCAAAACCTTTCCAGGCACAGCACAGCCCCGATCAGACCATGCAACCGAGCTGATGTGGGTGCCACAAACCAAACGCTTTCAGAAGCCTCAAACAGAACTGCAAGATACAAACTCTGAATTCTTTTTTCCTTGCACTTCCTAGAATTCTGAGTTTTTATCTCACAATTCTTGAAAATTCTATTATTATTTTTTTGTTTTTGTTTCTGCAATGGAATAAAAAAAACATAATTGCAACTTTTTGCAACTAATTGCAAGTTCATAGCTGGCAATTCTGACTTTTTCTCTGAAAATAAAAATAATTGAAAATGTGAGGGGAAAAGTCTGAATTTATATCCTGAAATTAAATGGTTATATAACGTAATTCGGACTTATTTTTCTCTGAATTGTGAGATGAAAAGTTGCAACTTTTTTTTTCTTTCTAAAATAGTTTTTGTATTTATTTCATTTTCTTGATC